GGCTTTTTTCTTTTTGCTTATGTGGTGCTGAGGAATCGAACCCAGGGCCTCAGGCATGCAAGGCAAGCGCTCTACCACTGAGCCACCTTCCCAGCCCCTATTAAACTGTTCTGAAGGGAGACTAAGGAGTGTAATGCTGCCCTATGAGCTGAAACATGAGCATTCTGCTTATCTCTGCCAGGTCCTCCCCTCCTGCCCATTCTGTGTGTGTGCCCCTTCCACTAAGATCACAAAGGATGAAGTTTCTATATCACCTGTCTTCCCTGCCTCAGACTATCAGTTTCAAGAGGACAGAGGACACATCTCAATCATTTCATTCTGACCCAGTGCCACACAAGCTCAGCAAATGGCTATGACAATAAACTGCCTTTGTGGCAACCTGGAACTGTGACAGGGCCTATCGTGAGCCCTGACAATCATAAGCAAGGGCTCTACCAGGCAGCTAGGAAAGAGAATAGGTGTGTGGCCAGGAGAGGAAGATGAAGCTGAGGGGAGGCCAAGGTCAAGGACAGGGTCAGTGGGACAAAGCCAAGGTGTGCATACTTCTTTGCAGTATTTGGTGACTGCCACGCCCAACGGGTGCTCACTGCTGGCCTCCGCAGTGCCCACCACAGCCAGAACCTTCCTGAGGGGCAGTGTAGCTACATCTGAGAGCAAAAGGACTCGCATGACTCTGGGGATCCCATGAGTAATGGTGCCAGTTTTGTCAAACATCACAGTCTTTATCTGCAAAAAAACAAAACAAAAAACAGCCACATCTCAGTAAGATAAGAAAGATTTAAAGAGCTTTCATAGTCTACATGATCATGAGGCAAAGCTATACCCAACCTGGCAGGCAGGGAGCAACACACCATTCCTTAACTTAGTGTTCTGGGGGTAATACTTGATACCATTAAAAAACTGTGTTCTATCTGTTCCATCAAGATGGCCGAATTGTGGCTCACCCTTGAGCAGGTGGAGTTGATATTGGCAATGGTGTGGCATGGTTTCCAGGATGATGCTGTCCAGACTATTTTTCACAGCAAGTCAAGTGTCAGGCCCCGGGGTTTCCTTCTCTGTCCCCTTGCTGTCCAGCCAGCCCAGCACTGTTTACTGCCTATTGTCTAGCTTCAAGAGCCTGCCTAGAATGAAGTCCAAGTTCCAGAAAAGAAGAGATTCCTCCAGCCATCATAATTGGAAACCTATTGCACCTGGTTGATGGCAGCTTTGTGCCTGTCCCCTCCTCACATGTGGGCTCAGACAGTCTGAAGGAACCATTTTATGGCTTCTATACTTCTGCAGCTGAGCCTCCAATTCAAAAAGAGCAATAACTGGAATGCATACATCCCTAAGCCTTATTCAAGGTCAGCATGTTGCTCTGCTCACACCACGACCCACAAGTTTAGTCCTCTGCAAGGAGCAAGCAACAGATGCAGTGTTTGAATTCCAATGCTCAGACATGCCCCTGTCTTCGGCACTGTCAAAGGATCTCTAAAGATCTCTGCCTCCTTGAAGCCATCTTCACTGTAGCCAGAGAAATCTTCCCAGTATGGAGCCTCGTAGCCCACAAGGAATTACACTGCCCTGCCATAGCTCCCCTCCTCAGAGCAAAAGTTGGAATTCTTCACCAAACCTTCTTGATCGTCATAACCCCTCCCCCAACACACATACATGAACACACATACACACACACACACACACACACACACACACACACACACACACATCATGTTCTCTTTGTCTGATTTTCTCCTTGTTCATTTATTTATTCAATATGCTAGTCTTGGGCTGGAGGCTAGGGACACAATGGAGAGGAAAAGCTTCTTTCCTGATCTTATAGAGTTTATGATCCAGTACCATAGCCTCCCAGAACTTCTCCATCTACTGTTCCACTGCTGGGATATTCTCTCCACTATCCTTTGTATGGCCAGCTCTTGTTTAACTCTTAGGTCTCGGATTCACCTTTTCTGACCATTGTACTGCTCCACTGCCCATTAGTGTCTTCAGGCATCCAGCAGTCTCACAATTCTGGACATATGTCATTTACCTAACAGTACCCATTTCTCCCATCACACTCTAAGTTCTCTGGAAGCTAGGAACCATGACTATTGCCAGATATTAGCACAGGCCGGCCTTCACATGTAAGTGGTGGGCAAACACTAAACAAATAATAGATATGAAATCAGGGGCTAAGATATTTGGCAAAGACAAGGTCTTGCTATGTAAACCAGACTGACTGGAACTCATGATCCTGCCTCAGCCTCCTGACTACAGGCATGTGACACCATACCCAGCTAAAAGGGAGATTCTTCATGTATTTTTATGTATACTGCCGCTCACTATTCTGACTGAAAGGTCATAGGACTTTGATAGTAATCTCACAATGAGGCAAATAAGAAACAACAAATAGTATTTTCAATAGGATTATAAAAAACACACTAGCCAAGCCCCCAAGAAGAGTGAGGAAGACCCACCTTGTGTGCCATCTCTAGAGGCTTGCCTCCTTTGATGAGGATGCCATGCTGGGCAGCCACTCCAGTGCCTACCATGACCGCTGTGGGTGTGGCCAGCCCCAGGGAGCATGGGCAGGCGATGCACAGCACAGTGATTGACGTCTGGAAAGCAAATCGGATGATCACTTCAGTCTGTGAGATGTGCTTGTTGGGGTTCTAAAGAGGAAAAAGACATGTGGGAGAGAGTTCAGTGAGGACCCTCCTGAAATTCTTACTTGTAAGAACTTTGCAATAGACCATTGGGATCTGAATAAGCATAGTGAGCAGGATTTAGAAGGCATGGCAATATTCTGCACTGCTTCAGCATCACAGAATTAGCTCCCCTCACTGCTGCACAGCTTGGTTTGCCAACCAGAGTAGAGAGTCAGGTAAGAGTTCCTGGCTCACTTGCAAGTTGGGTCGAGAAAATCATATCATAGCACTAGTGATGACTTTGCCTCTCCATGTCTCAGTTTCCCCTCATATAAAATGGAGATGATAGTACTCAGTTCACAGGCTGTTATAAGAATTGAATAAGAGACAGGCACTGGTGGCTCACAGCTATACTTGTAGATACTCAGGACCATGGTTTGGAAGCTAACCCATGCAGAAAAGTCTGTGATACTCTTATCTCCAGTTAACCAGAAACAACAACAACAACAACACTGGAAGCAGAGCTATGGATCAAGTAGTAGGGTAACAACCTTGAGTGGAAAAGCTAAGGCACAGCAAGCATCCAGGACCTGAGTTCAAGCCCCAGTACCATCACACATATTAAAAAACAACAACAAGCTGGGCGCTGGTGGCTCATGCCTGTAATCCTCGCTACTCAGGAGGCTGAGATCTGAGGATCACAGTTCAAAGCCAGCCCAGGCAGGAAAGTCTGTGAGATTCTTAGTTCCAATAAACCACCAGGAAACCGGAAGTGGCGCTGTAGCTCAAGTGGTAGAGCGCTAGCCTTGAGCTGAAGAGCTGAGGGACAGTGCACAGGCCCAGAGTTCAGGCCCCACGACCAGAAATCCCCCCCCCAAAAAAAAGTAGGCTTCATCTATCTACTTTGTAGCTTATAAGAAGCAAAGTCAATTTGGGGTAACAAAGTGGAGACCGAAAAACATAGATCAGTGAGATAACATTCTATGAACCTATAACATTATCAACTTATCCTGCTATAATTTTTTTTTCCTTTCCTGGGGTTTGAACTCAGGGCTTGAGAGCTGTTCCTGGGCCTTTTTGTGCTGAAGGCTAGCACTCTACCACTTGAGCCACAGTGCCACTTCTGGTTTTCTGGTGGTTTATTGGAGATAAAAGTCTCACGGACTTTCCTGCCCTAGCTGGCTTTGAACAGAGAGCCTCAGATTTCAGCCGCCTGAGTAGCTAGTATTACAGGTGTGAGCCACAAGCACCTGGTAACCTGCCATAATGTTATGTATCATGTTTTAAATGCATACCCCTATAGTCCTGGCTACCTAGGAGGCTAAGGTAGAAGGATCATTTGAATTCATTAGTCCACTTGAAACTTGTCTAACACAGGTGGTCCCTCAAGGACAGCCTAGGCAATATAGCATGTCCCATCTCATAACAAAACAACACACACACACACACACACACACACACACACACGAAATTCAGACTTATTAAAACATGCAAGACAGAATCTCTGGGCTTTCTGGGGAAGGAAGGCACAGAATGCCCAGCCATGAGCCGCCTATCTCCACAGCAGGGGAAATCCCCGCCAATGGAGCCTGGCACAGGCTTCTGGGGTTGGCTCGCCTCCACTTTGACCCAGCTGGTCTCAGTCACCTACAGAACCATCATCAGAGACAAAGGCCAAGGGTACCTTTTCCTGCAGAAAGGCTGCCAACTCTCTTCAGGTGACCAGCTGGTTCACTTAACTGGTGTTCACTGTGGGCCAGGATACCTTCCACGTTGCTGACTTTGCAGCCGATCCCACAGCCTGGCACTGCCTGGAAGTCTGTGCAGTAGCCCATGGTCTCTGTTCCAAGTTCCTGTGAAAGCAGGATAGCAGGATAGCAGTGTCCAGACAGCAGCACCCCAGAGGTCAGGGTAAGGGCAGCAAGGAAGGGGTGAAGTGGAATGGAAGGTAAAGGTTAGTACTTTTCTCTCATTGAATACAATTATTAGAGTTATCATGCTGGACCAGCCTGACCAGTCTAAATCCTCCCTTGAGTGGATGCCTCATGACAGTAGACAGGCTAAAGACTAGAAAGAAGAAAGGCAATTCACACCCAACTTCTCAAATGAAAGAAAGGTATCTCAACGGTATAAAGCATGTGCATTTGATGATATAAAATGTTTACCTAAATGAATCCCAAGAAATGGAAACAAGAGGTATTTTGTTATTTTGTTTTTTTCTCCCTCCTTTGTTGTTTTGATTTCTGTATCGGTTGTCTTGTATGTAAGTGTATCTGTTTTGGGATGGTAAGGGCAAAGAAATGGTGAGACTTAGGGTGAAGAGTTGTCATGGTGGCCTCACTGTGTTCTTTTCAGCCCTTGAAACTTATGGTACCAGGACTTGATGGAGCAGCTTAACAATCAGTGCAGTGTGCTGGCACATTCTGTTGCTTCTGTATTAAACTTTTTTTTTTTTTTTGGTCTGGTCATGGGGCCTGAACTCTGGGCCTGGGTGCTGTCCCTCAGCTCTTCAGCTCAAGGCTAGCGCTCTACCACTTGAGCCACAGCGCCACTTCCGGCTTTTTTCTTTTTGCTTATGTGGTTCTGAGGAATCAAACCCAGGGCCTCGAGCATGCAAGGCAAGCGCTCTACCACTGAGCCACCCTCCCAGCCCTGTGTTTCATTTTTGTAATAGCAAAAACAGGAAACAACTAAGAGGGGATTTATCAATTATCTGTGGACACAATGGAACAGTGGGCAAGTGCTAGATAGCTGATGTATGTTGTATGTCGGCACCATTGCAATAGGAAGATACCAGCTACGTGGCAGTTTACAAAGGCAAGTACTATGATTGGATTCATGCTAAATTCTCTGCCTGCATCTGTACCTAGCCTTCCAATAATATTGAAAGGATGTTCATCAAAGTTAAAGGGTGGCCATTTCTAGGAATGGGACTTGGAGCCATTTACCTTCTTCTCTGTATTTCATTCACGTTTTCTTTGTAAACTCCAAACAAACAATATAAGGATCAACTTTGCAGATCTGGTTTGGTTTGGATTTTTTGAGACAGGGTCTCACTATGCAATCAAGGCTGGCCCACAGCTCACAATCCTTTGGCTTCTGCCTTTTGATCTTAATGTGCTTTTCAAAGTGGTTGTGGTAGCTATAGAGTATAACCGACACACTGCACTCACTTCATTATAGTAAAATGAATATTTGCTAAATTGAGGAGACAGATCACAATCTCTTTGCCTTCTACTTTATTCTTTTGTATAATTAATGTACATTATACTCTATCCTATGATTTTTGTAAGGCAAGATTTCAAAAGAATGTATATCATAAGGATCATTTAATTTCTACAGTCTTTCTGATCAAAATACCACTTGGCATTCTGGTGACCCTGGGTGGGCTTCTAGAAAATAACTTGAACCTTTCCCAACAAGTAACATTGTTACAGCTCAGTGATGACAGCATTGGAAAGGAACATGCAGTACCTCATTTGTTAGCATCCTCCCCGACTTTGCAGATAAAAACAAAAGACGCCAAAATAAGCTGGAAAGCCATGGAACAGCAGAGAGCTGCATATTCCAACTTGTATAGGATTGAGTTTCCCACAGTCACATGTCAATAGACAGTTCTCCCCAAAAGCACAAGTTTTGGGCAGTAAGTGAATAGTCACCAGAAAATTCTATAAATACATTCACAGGTTACTCTTTGTGTTTTTCAACTGAAGGCCTTGTGCAGAGTAGGTTAGGCAAGTACTCTACTACTAAAACCAGGCCCACAGGGTGCTCCTATAAAAGCCCATTCCATATTCTTAGTTTCTTACTCTGTGTCTCTAAGGTAAAATGAGCAAATAGAATGAATGAAGTAAGAAGTTCTACTCATTGGGCAGTTACCTAGTACTGCCTCTGTGGGGCAAGAGCTTTTTACATGTATCAAGATTTCTCAATCCAGCATTATCACCATCTTCATATTGGGGACCTATCCTGTGCCACAGAACATTGAGCAGCATCCTGGTTTAGTGGCCCATTCATAAAAACCACAAATGTCTTCAGATATTAGATGGCCCTGAGAATCACTAATGATGCAGTTCTAGCTTCCGAAGTAGATACATTTTTTGAGGATAGATTGAATTGCACATATTGTTTTTGTAAAGTTTGATAAAATAGCATTTCCTAAGATAATGTTCTTCATTTTTTAACTAAAAATGTATAGTTTGACCAGCGCCAGTGGCTGATGCCTGTAATCCTAGCTACTCAGGAGACTGATATCTGAGGTTTGCAGTTCGAAGCCAGTCTGGGCAGAAAAATCCATGAGACTCTTACCTCCAATTATTGACCAAAAAAGTAGAGCTGTAGCTCAAATGGTAGAGTGATACTCTTGGGCAAAAAAGCTCAGGGACAGTGTCAAGGCCCTGAGTTCAAGCCTAGGACTGGCATACACACATACACACACACACTCACTCACACAAAGTATACTTCATTGTTTCACATATAATGTTAAATAAGTATTTAATTATTAAGAAGCTCTGTCTATGTTAACATATAACATAACTGGAAAGTATTATGACTTGGGAAATTAAGACATATGTCTTATAACTTCAGAAATGGTTTAGGGTTATTATACCTGAGAGACAGCTGATGCCTATAGCAAAAGATAATTTTAGTAATAATCTGCACAAGTAGAGAAGCAGAGTATCCCACCTAGACTTTTAATACATATATATATGCATATATATATTGCTTCAGTAAACAAAGGAAGTAAACAAAATGAAACATACACAATTAATGCCCAATGAGCTAAGACACAGAAGAATAGGATTAATGGCAGTATATAACTTAAAATTAAACAACCACACTGCCTGAGGCATTCAACTTACAGGAAAGTATTTCTGAACAACACCAAAATCGACAAAACCGATTATAATCCATACCACCAACGTCAAAGTTGAAATGATGATGATAAATGGGACAAAATATCCACTAAAGCGGTCAGCCAGTTGCTGAATAGGTGCCTATGAAGATAAAACATCAAGATCATGGGAAATTAGGACAGTGAAGACATAAAGCACCACACATGTGGATGAGGGCAGGGCCCCCAGCTCCCTCATTGCCTCATTTACTGACCAGCGCTACTCAATACTGAGATTAACTTCTCAAATGAGGGACCACACTGTGTCTTATGTTTCAGCATTACCTTGGACATCTGAGCCTCTTCTACCAACTTCACAATCTGAGCCAAAGTGGTGTCATTGCCCACGTGGGTGGCTCTAATCAGCACAGAGCCATGTGCATTTATAGACCCAGCAATCACCACACTTCCAGGTTTCTTGGTGACAGGCATGGCCTCTCCTAGAAGTGAAGAGACACGGTCACTTGGCTAGCCCTACTCAGCATCACATGGCTTATTGACTGCTGAAGAAAATATGGAACAAGCCACCTAACCTGTGATAAGGGACTCATCAGCCATGGTATTGCCTTCTAGAACTTTCCCATCCACTGGGAACTTGCCCCCAGGCACGACCTTGATGATGTCACCCCGCTGTACCAGCTCCATGGGTACTTGCTCCTCTCTGCAATAGATGCTACTCAGGTCATACACAGCAACTCCCAGCAACCCCCCCTCCCTGTGTGTTACCAGGTCAGCTTCTAGACTGACCATGGAACAAGACACATTACACAGCTGTCCTCTGTATCTAAGGGTTCTATACCCACAGATGCAAGCTAACTTCACTCCAAAAACACAGTAAAGGGCTGTGTTAGGTAGCTCAGTGGTGAGTGCTTGTTTGGCATGCATCAAGCTCCAGGTCCCACCATCAATAATAGTAACAACAGCATAAACACATACACAAATGCAAGATAAAAAACCTACATTTGTACTACAGCTTTTCTTATTATTCTCTAAATAACACAATGTTGCAACTATTTACATGACATTTACATTGTAGTAGGTATTGTAAGTCACCTAGGTGCATGATTGGCAATATACAAGAGTATACAGAGTATATAATGCAAACATGACTCCATTTTATATTCGGGACTTGAGTGTGGGAAGGTTTTAGTGTCTGTATAGGTCCAAGAATCAGTTTCTACTGACACCAAGGGATGACTGCATGTGCTTTACTCAGAGCAACAGATGCGAGCAGAGTTGAGTCTCCCTGGCCTGTTGAGGACAGCAAATTTTACCCTAAGGGGAGAAAAGGTGAACCACTGCCAGACTTTCTGCCACTGAGAAATACAGGTAGGTTTATTTCTCAAGAAAGGTCCTATTTGGGGCTGGGAAGCTGGCTCAGTGGTAGAGTGCTTGCCTTTCATGCATGAGGCCCTGGGTTCGATTCCTGAGTACACATAAGCAGAAAAAAACACAAGTGGTGCTGAGCTCAAGTGGTAGAGCACTAGCCTTGAGCTGAAGAGCTGAGGGACAGTGCCCACCCAGAGTTCAGGCACCATGACTGACCAAAAAAAACAAAAAGAAAGAAAAGAAAAAAAAAGAAAGGTCCTATTTGAAGTGGCATCTAGAAGCAGACAAACTGGAAGCAGAAGGCTGATAAAGAGAGAGGTAAACAGCATGGGGCAATAGAAATAGTGGCAGCCTCGAAGATGGAGAAATGAGGATCAAGAGGCTGGAGGTCAGGTGTGTGTGGATGAGGGAAGGGAAGGAGCAGCAAGAGGTCCACTGGGAGCTGTGTGGTAACAGAAAGGCAGGCGAGGAGATGACAGATAGGCTGGGAGCCCTCTCCATCTACAAGAGAAAGCTCTCCCTGCAGGTGATCCTGAGATCTGGAGGGAGGTTTGATAATGAGCTCCACACAGCTGGTGCTGGAAGATATAGAGAGATGACATGTCCCAGTGAGCCTGTAACAGAATACAGTCCAACAATGAAACCTAGAGGTCAGCCTCCCACAGGATAAGTATGAAGGTCACATAGCAAGCAGACAAAGCAGCAGCAGCAGCAGCAAAGGATTTCAGTCTGCTATGTAGTCAGACCTATAAGTGCTCCACCACCCAAGAAATGACAGGTGTCCTGGCAAAAGGACAGAGGGACAAAGAGGCCTGAGCCTTTAAAAGGAACTAGCTAGTACAGAAAACTCTGACAGTCTGCATGAAGGGACAAGGACCTATCTCTACAGCAGATTAAGGACATGTGCCAACATGCTTGGCTTCCAGCAATAATGATACTGATAATTACCTTTGGTATAAGACAGTCTCATGAGGAAGATAAACACTACTCCCATTTTATACTCTTTCAGGTTGATGGCCTCTATCCTGGAATCTTCCACATCTTGCAAGGAAAGTTGTTCCAAGTTCTCTGGGGAGTCTTCCTCACCTTTTACCAGACTTCCTCTCCTAATTCCTGTAATGTCAGCTGTCTGTACCTCTCATTCACCATTTAGCATCCACCTTCGACCATTACCTGCAGTATGTTATGGATTGAGTGTCCTCTCCTACTCTTGCAAAGTTCAAGGCAATATCTCTACCCAATCCACCCATGGAAACATAAACTGATCTCAAGCTCTGCTGATAAATACAACCTACCTGATGATTAAGTTGTCCTCACCAAGGGTCACAACTGTGGCTTCTGTGGCTTGGAGGGACATGAGTTTGGCAAGGGCTTCTGAAGTTTTGCTCTAGGAAATAAGCAGACTATGATAAGAGAGCTACTGACTAGTCTCACACCCACAAACATGCTCAAAAGTGCTGGTGTGGATGAGCAGCCCTGGTGAGAGAGACTTTAACACAGACACACCACACAACCAAGGCTCTGTGGGGACAGGGGTGACCAGGCAGCTGTGTAGTCACCAGCACACAGCATGCAAGCCTGAGCAATTGCACTTCAGAAGGGTAATAACTGAATCTCTCTTGGAGCCCTAACAGAATTTCTTCCAGGGCCTGAGTCCTACTTTTATATAGGCTCCATTACAATGCTGGGCACAGCACAGGTGTGAAAAATGGCCTGCAGCTAAGGCAGAGGTGTGGGCTCTACACAAATGAGTCTGCACTCAGGACTAAGAGACCATGAAGGTCAGAGTTCTTTCCATTGCACAATATACCTGTTCAAAGGTTTCATAATTAACCAGATTAGCTGGGATTTCAGAAGTAGCAACCAAGTTGGAGATTAGTGACCACACCACCTAATTATATGGAGGTTTCAGATTTCTTTAAGTCTAAATCAGGTGCAATGAGTAATTCTCCATAAAGGGCTCAGATGGACTGAGGTTTGTATTTCTGAAGGACCTACTTGGATCTTACCTAGTACCTACCTTTGCCACGTGTTCCAGCCACCGGCCCAGGGCAATGAACACGAAGAGCATGGGGGGAGTGTCGAAGAAGGTCACAGGACTCTTCTCAGCCTTCTCGGCAACTGCAACCACCAGGATGATGAGGGAGTAGACATAGGCGATGGTTGTGGCCAATACAATGAGCACATCCATGTTGGCTGACTTGTGTCTGAGAGATTTGTAGGCCTGAACATAGAAGTACCACCCACCAAGGAACTGGAAGCCAAGCACAGTGAAAACCTGTCAACAAACAGGGCGCAGATTTCCTGCCCCCCGGTGATAGCTAACATTTTAGGTATCTGTGCAAATCAGAAATCACTTTGGCCACAGTGATTTGTCATTGAGGAAACTTAATTTTCTTTTTTGAGATAGAGTTTAATTGTATGTCCCAGGCTGGCTTTGAACATGAGACCTGCTTCAAGCTCCCTATGAAACCTACTTTATGATTTAGAGGACTACTGGCCATAAAAATGAAGGGCAGGAAAAGACTTCTAAAACCCAGAGAACATGATATAAATGTTCACTGATAAGAGAGTCATAAAAATGGTCAAAAGAATCATAGTTCACTCATTTTATGGATACATGTAATACAGTCTTGAAATAAGATTAGTGTAATGCAGTCTCAAAAGAGAAGATATTTTATCGGTGAATCATTGGCATAGAAGATGCCAACAATATGAGAATAAATGAAAAAGCCAATATACATCAGTATTCTCACATGATCCTGCACCCATTAACAAGCACAAGTGTGTTTCAGGTTAACAGGCCAATATGTATTCATGTACACACAAGCATGTCTTCCCAATGCACATGGGACCTGGAAAGATATAAGTCCACTTCCTAAGTTTGCTGTAGAAACACTTGGGAACAGGACTGGGCCAATACTTGCAATGGATAGAACTGATTACAATAAATGTAAAGTACATTTGTAATTGAAAATAAAATATAGAAAAAAAAACTTCAGCCTACAAATGTTGGCCCTCAACTAATCCCAACAGTCCATCATTAACTTAAAGAGTTTAGTTTTATATTCTAAGATATATTCAGAATTTCCTTCAGAAACATGCTTGGGGCCTTAATATCACCACTCCAACAGATATCTTTACCAAGCTGGTAGCTGTTAAATGATTAATTTACTCAAAGATAAGAGCCACATCTGCTGTACAAGATAGAACATTTAGCTGGGCGTTAGTGGCTCTCACATGTAATCCTAGCTACTTAGGAGGCTGAGATCTAAGGATGGTGGCTCAAACCCAGCTGGGGCAGACTCATCAATAAACACCAGAAACTGAAAGTAGCACTGTGGCTCAAGTGATAGAGCGCTAGCCTTAAAGAGCTGAGGGACAGCGCCCAGGCCCAGAGTTCAAGCCCCACAACCAAAAAAAAAGATAGAATGTTTAAGGAAAGGGTGAGTTCTAGGAGCATCTGGCTGCTGCTTCCTTCTAATGTCAAAGGTAACTTAAACAGGAAACACAAATTTTGGGCATGGGGTCTGTAGCTCAGTGGCATAGCACTTGCCTGGTATGTATGAGGTCCTGGGTTCTATACTCAGCACCATGAAAAAGGGAGGGAGAAGAGGGAGTTAGGGACATACAGCTTTACCAATCTTGCAGGCAGGGGGTGGATATCACAGGGAGTTTTGATCCTTTGCAAGTCAAGTGGGAAAACAGACAGCAAAACCAGGCCCCACATCACCTGCTGGTCACAAGGCAGCAACTGTCTGGAGGCGGGACAGGAAGACTGCCAACTAAGGACTGTGTGAGCAGAAGAGTTCAGAGATGAGCCATGCTTAGAGGGCAGAGGTTTTACCACCTTTCTAACATATACCTGGACAAAGGTACACAAGATGAAGAAGACAAGATTGAGAATGGACAGTCCTGGGATGATGTTGTGGTCCAGGGCCATGGCTTCATGAGGATCCTTGCTGGGTATTAACATATAGATCATTAAGCCCATGACAGGGATGCCAAACACCAGGCTGCACAGGAAAGACTTCTTCCACCTGGAAGGAAAACACAACCACACAGACAATTAAGGTATACTAGGCACATGGAGTAAGGCAGGTCCTCTTCTGAGGACTTAGTTTAAGGCTTTGTTTTGTCACACATCTGAGGCAGAGACCCAAGGGATAAAACAAAAGTACAGCTCTTTACCACATTGCCATCCAAAGGACAGTCTAAAGGTCTACATATCACTGTAAAGATAGTCAGGAAATGTTAAGGCCTAGCCCTGCCTTCACACAGCTGATATGTGACCTCCAATCTATAGGAGAAGCAACTGAGGCAGAAACTGAGAATCCAGCCCTAAAGAGGTCAATTCCTTCATCTATAGCTGTCTACCACTCAATTTTCAAAAAACACTTTAACAGACCCCAGAGGAAAAACCAGATTAAAACAATATGTATTAGTATAAGCTAACCTTCACAATCTTTGTAGACTTTGAGACAGAATCTCATTATGTAGCCCAGACTGGTCTTGAACTTGCAATCATCTGCCTTAGTCTCCTAAGTGTCAACATTACAGAAGTGGACCATAATGTCAATGCTCATGTTCAACTTTCAAACAAATATTTAAAATTGAATGAGAATAGAGAGGCTGGCCAGCACCTGTCTGAAACTTCACATTAGCTGTAGCACCCATGACATTCCAACCATACAACCACCATACAAATAAAGTCTGAGAATACAATAGCTGAAAAAAGCTAAACTTTCCTCCTTCAATTCTTCCCTTTCAATTTAAACACGGTACATACATTAGCCATTTAAATTTAACTACTTAGTTAAAATTAAATGAAAGTTTAATAAAATTCTACTCCACACACACACACACACACACTAGATGTATTTTGAGTTCTCACTAGCCATGGTACAATGGCTGCCACACTGGGCAATGCAGTCATAGCACACTGCTATCCTTGCAGAAATACCTACAGACAACACTGTTTCAGATAGGTGCCACCCAGGGGTAAAGGCAGCTGATATAGGTGGAAGGAACCATGGGAGCAAGGACAAGCATGAAAATATTTGCATATCATGAGCCACAGAGTTGGCATGAAGGGAAGACGAACACTTAGATGAGGGCTGCACTTTATCTTTTGGTTCTACCTACTGCTTTATTTCCATCTTGTGATCCAAGTGATGGGCGTTGGGCCTTCTCTGTGCCAGGGAAGCATGAAAGCCAATTTCCTTGTGATTAAAAGAGAAGGGTGGGGAAGAAGGGTGAGGTACTTGTTAGACATGCATCAGTGGCAGCAACCATTTCCAGCTCTGCAAATAGAAAGTGCATTTCAAAGTAGCCCCAGAGACTCTAGTGGTTCTCCTCTTATAAGCCCTTAACCCACACTGGCTGATAATCTTGATGCCATCTAGGCTGGGAGACCATATACCAGGCCCAAGGAGATGGAGTCCAGTGGTAACCCTATCCCTACAATTAAGACACTAGGTCCTGGTAAGGTAACTCTACCAAGCCCCAAAGCTGATCAGGTTGACCTATAAACTGCTAACTTTTTAGTTAAGAAATCCCAAATATCTTCGTAATCTGGCTCTTTTACCCATGTAAGAGGAAAGCTAAGGTCACAGAAAGCAAAGGTAGGAGAAGTTAAGTATTTTGCTCAAAATGGCAGTGCTATTGAGAAGAACTATTGAGAAGAACTAAGTCCCTGATGCTCCTGATACACAGGGAAATCCTCAGCAGGAAATGTCTCCTCAGCAAAATACAGAACAGATAGGGGCCTCAGAATGCTGGGCCTGGAGTTCTCACATGGAAATGAAAAATGGTGGGGAAAAAACAACCAAGACATGTAAGTTAGATCCTCTCACCATCTAATTATAGTAGGAAAAGCTGCCTGAAGGATGTAGGTATGGAGGCCAGGCAATATGCCAATATTTCTCAAGTAAGAACAGAGGGATCTTTACCATGATGCAGGCTGAGTGGAATCTAGTGAGGGTATTAGAAACCAGAAAGGGTAACAGACACATCTGAACTCCCTCCTCCTCCCTGCCTGGCCTCTCCTTCCCATTTGCTATATGAGTGTGTGCCTCAGCTTCACCCATGCCATGGCTCCTGTTCTTGAACGCATTGCATCTGGGTAGAAGTGCCATTCTGAACCTGAGAGCTGGGCACTTCTGTCCTAACTGATGAAGCAGATTTGTGGCCAGCCTCTGAGAGGAGGCAATATAACAATAATACTGCCCTGTTTAGAGCTGGGCTGGCCCATGAACAGGCAGCAGCTCTCTTTAAGGCCACATATGCAGTGATGAGAAATTAGGAAGAGCATGGCATGAAGCCTTCTGTAGGATGTTTTATTTCCTAACTAGTTGTTCTCACTAAACATCATTTAGCCATTTAGCTGTTACAAATTAATCTTGTTTAGTTTGATTGGCTTAACCCACTTCAATCACCACCCATGCTTACTCTTTCATAGTGTGCTGTCACCTTGACCTTAAAGAGGAATGCAGGTCTGTTAACAAACTGAGAGAAGAAGGAGATATGACAGGCATGATATTTTAATACCAGAGTAAAAATGACCAAACTTTTCTAATAATACAGACTTAGCAGAAAGACAAACTGGTAAATCATTCTGTCCAATGTTAATATCCCTTCTATGTATAGATCACTGGCAAAGGCAATAATATTTTTAAATTGGCATTAGCTAAGTTAACCCTACATACCAGGTATCCTGGTGACACTGATGCTTCTCAACAAACATTTGAAATTAAAAACAACAAAATGTCTTCTCCCTTCATCCTTTTCTTACTCATTGACTGATATTCTCCCTCAGACTATTGGGTACTTACCTCTTTGCATTAATTCCCAATGACTGACCTTTGTCTCTGATTCAACTTCCTCATTTTTTTCCTTTCTGTTTAACTATATTTTCTCATTTTCCCACAAAGGTAAGAATTGTTTCATGAATGAATTACCTCAATAATTTTTACAATATCCCGTGGACCAATGATTTCAGGATCAAACTGCACATGGGCTTTGCTGGTGGCGAGGGCCACAGAGGCATAGGTAATGCCATTTGTCCTGGTGAGCTTGGACTCTATGTTGTGGACACAGGAAGCGCAGGTCATTCCTGTGATCTGAAAGATAGGACAGGAGCCACAGGCTCATGACTGAGAGGAGCCTTTCAGAGTCATATCAGGCAGAGTTGAGTGCCAGCTACAATCCTTCCTTCCCTACAAAACATTCCCAGAGTCTGTTCTGAATCACTGTGGTCTGCATTGTGAAACACCTCTTCAGAGACTACAGATGAATGAACATCTCTGCAGCAAGTGGGCCAGAATTCTAACCACAGTCTATGGCACCTCTGCCACACCATTCTGTGTATCCTGATAGGAGATATAGGGCTTGTACATGTGACCTGCCATTCCTGGAATATGAACTAGTCAAATCTAAATGATCCACTCACTTGATATGCATGTTCACTATTCCCTAGAATACTAACCAACTAAATACAGAAGTTATTTAGCTCAATGACAGAGTTTGAATAGTATGTATGGAAGCCCTGGGACTGGCCCTGCAACAAATCAATCAATATAGATGTTCACAAACAATGTTTATGACAATGTGATGACAACTATTGCTAAATAGTTTTCAAAAAGAAAATCCCCATCTTTTTCAATAATACTTTTTTTTGGTAACCAGGCTTGAACTCAGGGATTCAAGCCTAGAACTGGGGCTCTATCACTTGCATCACACCCCTAGTCCAGCCTTTTTGCTAACTGTAGATAGAAGCTTGTGGATTTTTCTGCCAGGCTGGCTTTGAACTGAATACTCAGATCTCAGCCTCTTGAGTAGCAGGGATTATAGGTGTGAGACACTGGTGACCAGCTTTCAGTAATATTCTTGATTTGAGTTTTCCATATAGTAGTCTGAATTGGCCAAGGAGTTCACGTGTGGTCCTGGAGGTTTGCAGCAGGGACCCTCACCTCTAGCCCAGCAAGTATGAACACTGCCCTCCAGCCCCCAGCAGAGGGTTTGTTTGTTCAACTGAGAACACAGGAGCTGAGTGTGCCATTCATGTCCTCAGTACTTTTTCTTTTAAAAAACATATTCACCATTAATGGTAGTGATTAAGTACATCAAGAAGCATGGGACCCATTCACCTCAGTAAAACAGCATTGCTCAATTCTTTGGGGGTTTCTTCTAAGTCTTTCTTTGTTGATGCAAAAATAGCTTTGTTCAGAAGTGCTTTTCAACAAAGCATACTATAAATACCAGGATTATCCATTGTTTTCAATGACTTGTTGACTACAAGTTGAAATAGGGGCAGAGAACAGCCACCCTCCCAAACACAGCTGGGAGCAAGCACACCTGAGGCATTCACTTCAGATTGAGTGCTTTGGGTTACTTTGGACACTAATTAATGATCTTTTGAACACCCATATGCTTCCGGGCCCCTCTATTTCTGTGTGTTTTGTGTGACAAAGTACAGAACTCAGGACCTTGTACATGTTAGGCTAATGCTCTACACTGAGCCACACCTCTAGCCTATCTGTCATTCAATGGCACTAGCTACCTCCAAGAACTCACCTATTCTATCTAGAAATGTCTACAGACAGCAGAGTGTCTCTTCAGGCTTGAAGGACTGTGATTTCACTCACTCTTCTCCAGTCTGCCATACTTAGCACAGCCCCCTCCCTACTTCTCTTTTCTCTACCTCCTGTGCCTTGACATTTCTTCCTCCTGACCCTGAGTGTATGTGGTAGGAGGGCCTCCTCAGACATTCTAACAAAATGACTTTCCTTCACAAAACAAACATGTCAAAAAAACCCCACAAAGCCCAAACCCACGAACCACCAGAAATTATCCTAGATGGGAAAACTCAGTCATGAGGACAAGTGCTGTCAGAGCCTCCATACTTACTATCATCTCGATATCACCATCAGAACAGATGTTGTCCTCCATGACTGTGGCATTAAAGCCCAGGTCCTGGATGAGCTGAGCTATTGTGGGTGGCTGGATGACTTCCGGGTTGTACTTGACCTCTGCCTTTCCCGACATCAAGGCAACCAATACAGAGACGATACCTGGAACCATTAGGTCATGGCTGTGACTCTGGGCAACATGTTTGTGATGACATGGTTAACATAGTCTAACACATAAAAAAATCTCTACAGGAGCTCCTAGAGCCATAGTTCTCAAACCTTGCTGTATATGAGGATCATTTAGATAACTCTGAACAGCCTTGATATCTGATACTTTACCCAGACAAAGAGAGTAAGTGTCTCTTAGGATGGGCACCAGACATGTTTTTTAAAAGCCATGTTTTAAAAGAAAGCTGAGTGAAAGTGGTTCATACCTGTAATGCTAACTACTTAGGAGGGTAAGACCCAGAGGATCATTGTTTAAAGCCAGGCAAGGCAGAAAAGTTCTGAGCGACTCATCTAAAATGCCAGTCTGGAGGTATTATAGTTCAAGTGGTAGAGCACCAGCAGTAAGCAACCAAGCTAAGTGAGCTCCAGGCTCTGAGTTCAAGCCTTACTGCTTGAAGAAAAGGGAAAAAAGTCTTTGTGACTCTAACATACAGTCATGATTGAGAACCACTCTTCTAGGATAAAATGCTTCTCAAGCATCTATAGGCCAGGCATAGTAGGACATGTCTGTAATTCCAGTTACTTGAGAGAGTGGTGGTATGTCTGTAATCCCAGCTATGAAGGAGAACTAGTAGAACTATCTCCATCTAAGGCTAGTCTCAGGCAAAAATGCAAGACCCTATCTAAAATATTATTAAAGCAAAACAAGCAAGTTGGAGGTCCCGAATTAACACCTCAGAATGGCCAAAAAAAAGGGGGGGAGAGTGACATTTGAGTCATCTGTCTTGCTAAAATAGATGGTGATTCAGTGGGCTTAAGATGGGGTTTGAGATTCTGCATGTCTACCCAGGCCCCCAAAATGCTGAAGCCCTAATACCCACATCTGCACACATCAAAGTGAGGGATGAGGTCTGTAACTATGTAACCTCTGTTATGAAAAGGATGTGCTTTTTTCCCCTAATACTGGGATGCAAGGAATAAATACTTCTTCATTTCTAATATTAGAATTTGAGCAAAGGAGAAGTAACCCCAAGCAAGGTATGGATGGCTCATTCTGGTATTTCTAGCTATTCAGGAGGCTTGAGATTTGAAGACTGGTTCAAAACCAGCCCAGGCAGGAAAGTCTGTGAGAATCTTATCTCCATTTAACTACCAAAAAGCCAGAGTGGAATTGTGGCTCAAGTGGTAGAGTGCAAAAAAGCTCAGAGACAGTACTTGTTCTGAGTTCAAGCTCCGGGAATGGCATTTTAAAAAAAGTAACCCCAGAAACCATCTTGCTAGGAATACTGTATTGTCAGTTTGAAGGGGAAAAAGAGCCACATGTAAGTAAGTGAAATGAATGATGTGCTTCTGAAAATCTACAATAAGGGAAAAACAAGAAGTTGAAGTCAGGAACGAAAACACAGGCTATGAAATTATAGACTTCATGAGTAGCTGCCAGTCCATGGAGACAAGTCCTCCTGTAACACTGAATGCTGAGATCAGAAAGCTTTATGCACAATGAACAAGAGGCAAGAAAACATATTAGTCTAACTGAAGGTTAAAGGCCAGGGAATCAAGAGCAGAAAGATACAAAGATCCACTGGGTCAGGTAGAGTCATGATTAAAGCATTTACGAACATATAAGGACAGAATTTTTGCTGTACTTTTGTTCTTAAGACAGTATTGGAAATGTGGGTAGGTGGACAAAACTGGCATTTTCATAAAACTCCATGGCTTGTGAGGACAATTGGACAAACAAAATATGTGAAACTGGAACTTTGACACAAATGAAAATTCTTTGTTCATTTTATAAAAGGTTAAAGGATGGGGATAGGGAATGTTGAATACTAGAACAAGCTAGTTGAGAATAACCATAGAATGTACCATGTGCTTTAAATTGATTTTACATGGCAAACTTACTCAGACACACTATTTACTCAACTACTTAACTTACTCAAACTATCCGTTGTGAGTGTGAGTGTGTGTTGGTCCTGGGGCTTGTACTTGGGACCTGGATGCTGTCCCTGGGCTTCTTTTGCTCAAGGCTAGTACTCTACCAGTTAAGCCACAGCTCCACATATGCTTTTTAGTAGTTTATTGGAGATAAGAATCTCATGTGCTTTCCTGCCCCAGCTGGCTTTAAACAGTGACCCTCATATCTCAGCCTTCTGGGTAGCTAGGATTACAGGCATGAACCACCAGTGCCTAGCCCAAACTATTTAAACAAAACACCCATTGCCCAAGAATGCTGAACCAGCATCTCTACTATCATGTGTGTGTGTGTGTGTGTGTGTGTGTGTGTGTGTGTGTGTGTGTGTGAGTGTGTGTGTGTGTGTGTGTGTGCGCACGTGTGTGTGCCTGTCCTGGGGCTTGGATGCAGGGCCTAAGCACTGTCCCTTAGCTTCTCCCTCAAGGCTGGCACTTTGCCACTTTAGCCACAGTTCTACTTCTGGCTTTTGGTGGTTAATTGGAGATAAGAATCTCATAGGCTTTCCTGTGTGTAGTCTGGCTTGGAACTATTGATCCTCAGATCTCAGCTTCCTGAGTAGCTAGGACTACATTCATAAGCCACCAGTGCCCTATATTACCTTATGATGAACTTGCCAGATTTTTAGAACTACTAAGAAACAGTCAATGGAGATTCTAAGATGTGAATACAGTTTATATACATCATTCCCAAGTTCAACATGGGTAAAGATCTCTTACCAGCTTCTTTCTGAAGATTTCTTTCTATCTTGGACACACAGGATGCACAGGTCATGCCTTTGATTTGTAAAAAGCACTTCTGTGGGTCTGCTGGTCTGGTGGGTAGTGGGGTATCTAATGAGTGGCCTGGACTGTTGTTCTGAGAAAACTTTCTGGCATGAGGAATCACTTGCTGCACAGGCACAGGGGTGCTGCTTGTTGTCGGCAGCATGAAATTTCCAGCACTGTGATTTCCAGAAAGATGGGTGGTAGAATAACTCTCTGTAACAAAATATCAAAAATCATTCAGATTAGACAATTCATCGCAATTTTGTTTTTCAGAATAGGAAAATTCAAGCTTGAAAATATTCAGTTTAAAGTTACTGGAGAGGTGCCCAGAGACAACGAAGTATAATTACAGATCCAGAAAAGCATACCAATTCTTCAGGGTTGACTGTTCTGAGTAGGTGAACATTGTAATTAGATGCTGCTGCTAACAATAATGATGATGTTGATGGTGATGATGATGGCAATGATTCACTAGGTACTCTGCAAAAGCACTTTACATATAATAACCTCCCTAATTCTTAATATAGCTCTGTATGTTAAATACCATTATCCCTATTTATAGATGAAGAAATGAATCACAAGAAATTAATGTATCTCAAAATAATGAAGTGAGCTTGATGTGGGTCTGGTTAACTCCAGGTCTGAACTGTGGCCAGTATTTCATTCTTATTAGTTGAGGTCTGACTCCCTCTCCATGAGAACTACAGCTTTATTGAGATATTTGCCTTTGTCCTATTGTTTGCACAAGTTCTTTATGTAGTCAAGATATGACTCCTTTGTCAATTATATGCATTGCAAATATCTCCTCCCTGTCTGTGATTTGTGTTATCACCCTTCTAATGGTGTCTTTTAGCAAACAACATATCCTGATTATTAATATAATCCAATTATCAATCTTTTTTAATAGTACTTTTTATGCTCTCTTAATAGATGCCTACCTCAACATCACAAAAGTACTCATGACATTTACTTCTAGAAGAGCTAACATGTAGAAGAGCTTCTACATTCAAGTCTCTGATACATTCAACTATTTTTTTGTGCAACAGTTTTGACCCCAACCATTATGATCCAAATCCACTGACTGAAAAGACCAGTGGTATTTGAGAAGTTTCCAGTGATACCTTTGCCATAAATTAGCTGATCTTTTTTGTCTATCTTTGTGCCAACCTTAATTTACCTAGAATAAATAAGATGCACAACTCTTGAAGAGTACTACTCTGCATCCTGAAATATATCAGAATTACTTTCCTATTGTTACTGTAATAAATTACTACAAACTTAGTGGCTTAAAGACCACATATAAATTACTTCTTACAGTCCTGCCTTTTTGAGCAGCTAAAAGACCACTTGCATTTTCAGGTTCATATAGCATACCCCTGTCTTCAAAGCTAGAAATCCCAAATCTTCCTCCAATCACCATATCTCTCTAACCAGCCAGGAAAGGTACCTCATTTTTAATAACATTGATGGGACATGACTGGGCCCATTGGGATAATTTTTCTAAAACCTCAATTGTACAAGGCAGAAAGATGGAAGTGACTTTTACTGATAATAGGTCTTAATGAACTCTACATATTAACTGGCAAACTGTGTGCAATCATTTGAGGATATATATTGTGTGCATGCATGCATGCATGCATGTACTGGAGCTTAATTTCAGAGCCTCATATTTTCACTGGGCTTTTTCTGCTCATGGCTGATGCTCTACTACTTGTGCCAAACCTCCAGTTTTGACTTTTGTTCAGGTAATTAAAGTACAGTCTCTTGGACTTTTCTGCCTGGGATGGCTTTGAACCTTGATACTCTGGTTTCAGCATCCCTTAGTAGCTAGGACTACAGGCATGAGCCACTGGCACCTGGGCTATAATACATTTTTTAGGGTCACGTAAGTAGTCATAAAGGATGGTCATCAGCATCCTAATGGCTTACCCTGAATTAAAGTTGCCAGGGAAAACACAAGGTAGTCAAATTTAGATTTCAGACAGACTACAAATAATCTTTTGTGCAAGTTTATATGCAATGCTCTTTATTTATATTAAAGAAAGCATTCACTGTTTACATCAAATTCAAATCCAATTGGGTATTCTACATTATTATTTGCTAAACTTGAAATCCTAAGTACCTTTTGGGTCTCAATAAATCCATTTCTCCACATTCTACCCAATGAAAATTACTTCTTTTCTTTCTAAGTATACTCAGCCAATTATTTTGTTAATATGCAGTTCAATGTCATTTCCTTGTTTGCTGCCAAAAGGCTGAGGGTACTGTTGTTGAAATACTATACTTGAGACCAAACAGCAAGTACTGACTCTGTTGAATTTCTTACCTTTTGAGTTCAAAATGTACTGTGCTATTGTTTTCTTTATTTACTTTTATTTAAAAAATAAAAAAGATTTCTTTCCAGGGGGTAGTGATAGTGGGGAAAAAAAGAAACTAAAACCACTCCTTCCTAAAACTTGGTACCAAGGGCAAAGAATGTGGTCATACCCCTCCACATGGCTTACCTGTTCGCTACAATGATGGGTGTGCTGTCTTCAAAGGGTAAGAGGAAAGTATCACAAGAGAGAAAACTTTTTCAAGGACACAAACTCTGTGTCATGGCTAACAGGACATGGAAAACCAGAGTTGCCATTCCTTGGCGCTGCCAGATAAACTTTGTCTGGGTACTACAAGCAGTTCTCCCTCTTTGGGCTGTCTCCCCAGTAGCAAGGATGACTAACTATACGCTCTGAGGCTGCCTACTTCTACTCCACTCTACAGATTAGAAGGACATACAGGTCCTGGATCTGAAAGCTAAATGACTAAAGCACAAACATCCACAGAGCTATCCCTCACCAAATGAGCCCCTCCAGCTGTAGTCCCAATTATTTGGGAGACTGAGGCAGGAGGATCATTTGAGCCCAGATGCCTGAGGCCAGCTTGTATAACATAATGAGCTCCTACCTCAAAAAAAGAAAGCACTATTTCCCTCCTCATCTTTAGCCTCTGTCCCCTTCTTCACCTCTGCCTTGCCTAAGTTATACTGATAGCCTCTACCACACAGGCTGGGCTCCCACCTTCCCATGTACCAAAGCATGTACCATGTACCAGGGCTGGAGCCTCCAGTGGCCTCTCCCTAGTTCACTCTGAGACATACTTCCCATCTTTGCCTGTGCAGCCCTTCTCCTCCAGTCACTCACTGGTGAATTCCCCTCCCCCGATTCTACACTCAAATCTGAATCTCCAGCCCCACCTTCCACATCTGGGAGGGCTCATCCAGGTCTCTGCATCCAATTCAGATTCCTCTCCCATCACTCACAGACTTCCTGCTGACCACAGGCTTGGTGGTTCTGATCTTTGACCTCTTGACCCTGAGCCCAGAACCAGCCTTCTGCCCTCTGCTTAGGTCACGTTGCATTTCTGTAGAGCTTCCAGACTAGGACACTGTCCAGGATGTATAAGCTTTCTCCACTTTTTTTTTTGTTCGGCCTTTTCCCACCCTTTCCCTCTACTTCACTGTTCTGGAGAAAACAAGTCTAGCTCATGCAGGACTCAACCTGTTGCACAGCAATGATTTATTATCTCTACCTTGCCTTATAACAACAAAAGCTCTTAAGACAGAATGTCTTCCCCATGCACAATCCTATAACTAGCACAGAACTTAGTTCAGGGCAGGCAAAAAGGGTTCAAATGATGCTGTATCATAGGACTCTGGGGGAAATGAAAAGGAGAACACAGGCCAGTGAACAAAGAAGAAGTAGCAGGCTGGCAGCCTCCTGGGAAATTCTGCCTGGTAACATGCCAGCATAGGAGGGGAGGTCGGGGGTCATCCCTGCTTGTGAAACTATCCCTCCCAGTTTTCTTCCTATACAGCCATCAAAGTGAAGTCATCCTTAAAACCTACCCTTAATCCTCCCTTTGAAGAGAATGGCCTCTAAATGCTGAGTTTCTGATGCATTTACTATTTTGTTTTTTATGTACCAGAAATATCTTCTGAGAAACTAACAAGGGTCCCTTGGGCAAGAAAAGGGCCTACTGTTACCACAGTGCTTTATTTCAGAACACAGAATCATAATTCTCTCTTGAAAAGCCGCCCAAATGCAAGGACTTCAGTATGTGTCAGTTACTCAAGAGGCTGCAGTCAGAAATTCCATTTCCTCTATCCTGAGATTTTAACAAATTTGGACAGGTTACAGAGCTTTACTAACTGTCAACTGTAAAGCAGGGCTCACCTGTGCAACCACCCAGGTACTCTGTTATCGTAACAAACACCAAGAAACAACCCCAGGACATGCTTCCACCACATATCAGCTACATACCAGCCATCACTGATGCCTCAAATCCCATGTCTTCTACAATAGCTCGGAGTTCTTCTGGATTTATTACAGAAGGATCATAAAGAATAGTTCCAGTTCCTTCAGCCAAAGAGACTGATATTTGCTGCACCCCTTCCCGCTGAGAAACCATGCCTTCAATGGACTGTACACAGGACATACAGGTCATTCCAGTGATGGTGAGCACCAAAGTACTGCATGTGCCTTGTGTCTGGTTTCTCTGCGTGGAGTCAGGAGATGAAATACTGGAAAACCTTCTCTCTGGCTCACCCCCTTCTGCTCCATCAGGAAGAGAAACTTGAAAGTTCCCAGGTGGAAGTGCTTCGATGGACCTCTTCAGGGACAAAGGGGTGATCTGAGAAGGGTCATACTGTATTTGAGCAGTTTTATTCTCCAAGGACACTTGGATATTTTGAACCCCTGAGAGTTGGCCTATATTTCCTTCAATATTCAAAACACAAGATTTACAGTGCATTCCATTGATTCCAAGTTGGAGGGTAGACATATGGCTTCTTTGGTCTCCCAAGGCCTCAGAGTTAGTGAAATTCTGGTTAGCAAGAACTGTCAGCTGCTTTGGGTTGGTGCTTTCTAACAGGCCAATATCAATAGGTCCAAGGCTTAAGGGAGCCATTTTGTTCTTGATAGCAGCTTCAAACCCCATATCATTGACATGGTCCCTGAGGTCTTCAGGTTGGATGAGATAAGGCTGGTAAGTGATAACTGCCTCTTGGTTGCCAAGGGAGACTTTAACTTTCACTACTCCTTGCAATTTCCCGATCTTACTTTCAATGGAGCTGACACAGGATTGGCAGGTCATGCCCTCTACCCGGAGCTTGACCACTGCCTCCTGGGCTGGTGAGGACCTGGAGGGCCAAGAGGCAGCCTTTCTTTCTGCAATGCTGATATCAAAGCCCATGTCCCCAATGTGATGGCAAATCTGTTGCAGACTCATGACAGCTGGCACATATGTCACTGATGCACAGCCTTGTTCTAACAAAACCTTAATGCTCACAATGCCTTTCAGGCTAGAAACCCTGCTCTCAATGGACTTAACACATGACTGGGAAGTCATGCCCAGAATGCTGATCGTTCTGGTGGCAGTCAGAGATGAGCCAGTGCCGTCCAAACTCCCTTCATAGCCAATATTGTCAAAGGCAAAATTCTGCTTCATTCCTTGTTCCCACGGATGAGCAGGTGAAGAAGGTTTAGACAAGATCTAAAAGGAAAATAAATAATATTACTGATCGTTCAAATATTTCCTATACTATCCAATTTTGCACAGCACAGAGAAAATGGAAAATATCCCTGGTATTAAAACTTGTCAAGGGTAGAGAACATAGAGAGGAAAAACAAAGTTAGACATCATTTAGAAAATGAATGGGCTCCTGTGGGTTCTCTTTAGCTCTGAACGTTCTATGATTCTGAACCTAGAAAGCTGTCTTCCTAACCAGAAGATGTGGAAGGTTGCTGAAGTAGGGAGGAAGGCACAATGTAACTTAGTGCTGTCTTGTGACAGAGGCAGACTGCAATGCTTCACAATGGGAAGGCAGAGAGAGCTTCTGAGCTCTGGTTGATACCAGAATCCCCACAGAATTCTGTCCTTCCAACTCAAATTTTGAAGGTCCCGCTGAAATGCAAATTCCAGAACGGGTATTTAAGGTTAACACCTTAAATCTGCCCATCTTTATATAGCAGTCTATGATTTTCTTAACAGAAGTCAAATGTATTTAATAACCATTGGGCACAGGCCTCCCAGGTCCTGAAGAGCTGAAATCTGCAAGTGGACTACATACCTATGAAGAAAGATGTGAAGTAAACCGAAGCAAAATGAGCACTAGTGGCTAACTTAGAAGGACAGGATTAAGGAACAGGAATTGAGTTTAATGAGGAATACCACAGTCCTGCCTTCCGCTGTCATTGCCCTGGGTATTCTAGAATCTTGTTCTCTTTACCTAAAAGAAGTCTGTCACCAAATTAAATGATCCTATGTATGTGTTAATTTTGGTAGTTATAGAACCTAGGGGCTGTCATACATGCTAGGCATATGCTATCTTGAGCCACAACAGTCCTAGACCTATTTTCTCAATCCACCACAATACAAGCATTATTTCCTCATTTCTATACAGAATGATGTAGATATAATCATTCCACTAACAAGACAAAACTTTCCTTCCACAGGATTCCAATCTTTGGCTCTCTTACATAAGATATATAGTTTTCACAGCAGTACAAAAGACTGCATGTGAACCAGCTACCAATGTCTCAAACTTGTAATCCTAGCTACTCAGAAGGCTGAAATCTGAGGATTGAGATTCGAAGCCAGCTGGGGCAGACAAATCTGAGCCATTTTCAACTAACCAGCAAAAAGCTGGAACTGGAGATGTAGGAAAGTGCCAGCAGTGAACAAAAGAGCCAAGCAAAAGTATAAGGTCCTGAGTGCAAGTGCCTATACCAGCACAAACACCAAAGAAAGGTCATTTAAAAAATTAAATTTAACATGAGCCCAAAGGAGCTTCCAAACAGAAACTTGTTTGCAGTTGGCATTAAGTAAATACTGATTAAAATGGACTGAAACCTTCCAAACTCAAGTCCTAGGAAACTCTTTTGTATGCTGATTATCTCAGATACCTGTTACAGTAACAAAATGCTGACTGATACAGGTTTTTTGTCTTTGCAAAGTTCAGCTAGAGAGGGCTGGGAAGTTGGCTCAGTGGTAGAGCGCTTGCCTTGTATGCATGAGGCCCTGGGGTTGATTCCTCAGCACCACATAAGCA